GTCCCACTGGCTGAGCAGGTACAGCTAGGTTGTATCCTACAGAATAATATCTTCTCACCCCATTTCCTACTTTCCCTATTTCTCTTGATGGAATCATCATCATCCTTCCAGGTGGAAGATATGACTTGAAATATGGATCCAACACTCCCTAGCTCTGTTATCTTGGGCACAACAGGTTCACAATCACAGTTTCATCCCCAATTCCTCATCCTCAATCATCCCACATACTCAAATACTTGCTAAATCTCATCTCTGCCTCTATAACTTCTCGTGTACCTGCCCCTTTCTCTCTACTCGGATAGTTACAACTCAAGTGCAGGCACTCATCACCTCTCACCTGAACTATTGCAATAGCCTCTAGAAAGGTCTCCAGGCTTCAAGCTTTTTCTCTCCTCTAATCCTTCTCCCACACAGCTGCCAAAGTGGTTTTCCTAATGGATAGGTCTTCCCACATCACTCCCCTGTTCAATAAATTTCAGTGGCTCCGCACTGCCCATAGGAAGAAATATTATATCTGTAGCTCAACCTTTTAAATTTCTACTTTGTACAAGTTTTATACTGCACATAATTATTAGCATAGTAGTACATGAATGTTGCTTAAATAAGTATATGGATGTATTTCTATTTTTTACTAGTAGTTTGGAGACCTTCACTATACTGGTGAAATCACAGGATCACAGGTTCTGTCTGAAAGGTTTACAAGCTACTTTCCTTGAAATAATCCTATAAGGCAGTAGCTGCTAGTATTTTTTTCTTTTTACTCAACTTGTGATTTCACCTGTGTAGGCAATTTCCAGTGAGGAAACTTCCTCTACGAATGTTCAAGGTTGGATGGCTTACCAAGAGTCATATAGCAAGTACTAGGACCCAAGTCTTCCTAACTTCAAGGTCACTTTCATCCATCACACTGCTATATTACCAGTATTATTGCCTTTCCATTTTACAGATAAGGAACTGAGATTCAGAGGCTAAGGACTCACCTCACATCACACAGCTAGTAAGTGTTGGAGACGGGCCTTGAACTTACAAGTTTGGGTTCTTTAAACTGATGCCTTTACTATACCACATGGTTCCCTTTGTCTGGGATCCCCTCCCAGCTATACAAGTCTTATACCTCCTGCCAAACCCTGTTCAAATTCCACTTACTTAATGAAGATATCTGGGACCATTGTAGACCTCTCCTATGAGATCTTACAGCATCTGTAGTGTGCACTACACTATTTAGCACATACTCTTATATTCTCCCACTCTCACCCCACAAGGTGCCTAGCACACAGTTAAGGTCTTGAGAAACTGACAATGTGATGGGTCTATCAAGGATGGATGACATTAGGGTGTCTTTCATAAGCTACACATGTGGTTATCAAGCATATTTTCATGGATAACAATGTGGTCCATTGGAATGAATGGATGAATGAATAGTTGGATGAGTAAATGGATGGATGAATGGATAAATAGATGGATGAATACATAGATGAATGAATGAATTAATTAATGAGCAATCATTTGTTAAGTGCTTACTGTATGGCAGGTACTATGGAAACAGTAGTAACCCAAGCAGGTTTTTCAGTGAGATGGCAAAACCATCTCATGTCAGTAAAGCAGCACTATCACTCTGCCTTATTTCCCCACCTGTGGCCTTCTCTCAACCAGCACCAAACCCTACTTCAGAGGCAACATGGAGCACAGAAGCCAAGCTCCTATGTGTTCTCCTCTAGCCATGGGCCTAGCTACCCTGGGTGACCTGAGAGAGCAGATAAGTAGGCAAGACCTGTGCTCAGAGCTCTGGGCTGCAGCAGCTAAGACTGACGGGTTGTCAAGAGCTGCCTGTCAGCTACAAACCTCCACCCCAGCTCCCATGTGAAACTTTTCAGGCTTCAGAATTCATATTTGATATCTCAATTTTGCCTCTTGACTCTGGGTTTGGGGGGAGGAGGGATTGACAGGAGTTGATGGGGCCCTTTCCTTTCTTAGAGCACAGGGGAAAGAGCATGTTTCTATATCCTGGCTGCTGCTTTGAGGATTAAAATTCACCAGGCAGGCAGATCTAGGTATGGAAGATTAGCATTCCCCACTCCGGAACACAGGTTCAACAGGGACTAGGAGACATTTCACAAAGACCCAGACAGGTCAGAAATGCTCAAAGTTTGATTATACTGGATTGACTTCAAATAAGAGAATTCCTACAGTTTAAAACAAGATAAAGAAAGTGGGGGTAGGAGACATAGGTCATTATACTTGTATATCCTACATCCTGGAGCCATTAGGATCATAGATTTAGCACCAGAAGGGGTTTCAGGGGTCATCTAATCCAATTCCCTCCTTTTTTCTAGGCCCGGGGAGATTGATTGCCGCAGGTCACCCAGGTAGTGAGTGACAAAGGTGCTCTTTGATCAGAGGGAGGGAGATGGAGAGAGGTTACAGCTGGGTGTCAGTTGTCTGAGGTGTCAGTCAGAGGAGCTTTAGATGTGATGAAGTTCAGGACACCAACAGGAAGAGGAAGTGAGACCAGTTATGGTCCACTGCAGAGGCTCTCCATGAACTTAGAACACCAGGTCTTTACCGCTCTACCTCTTAGAAGTGACAGACACCTGGTCTTTTTCTTCCCATAAAACAGAGCAGCTCAGCCCCTGCATGTGGTCTTATTTTGTTTTTTTGTACCCATCCTCACCTTCCCCTTTTGGGTGTTAGATATGAAGACACACTTACCAGGGGCCAATAAGTTTTTGGTCCTCACCTCTGATTTCATCATTGGGAGAGAACAGTTTTCAGTAAGTTAACATAGACAGAAGTTAAGAGCAATATCAAAAGAGTAGGACCTTTTGAGGTAATCACAAAGGGGCACAGAGGTTAACTTGGGTAAGGACCAGCATAGTGGAGCATGCTGCTGGGAGGATCCAGTGCTCTTGAGTTCAGGAGGAGTTCTGAGCTGCAGTGGGCTAAGCAGATCATGTGACCAAACTAAGTTTGGCGTTAATACAGTCAGGCTCTGGGAGCAGAAGGCCGCCGGATTGCCTAAGGAGAGGAAAACCCTCCTGGTTCAGAAGCAGAGCAGGTCAAAGGTCTTGTGTTGATCAGTAGTTAATTGGTCCCTATATCAACAGCCTGGGTAAGGTAGGGAAACCCAATCTTAAAAAAAAAAAAAAAAACATGGAAAGTGATAAGCAATGTCTGCATTTCTGTCAGCAGAAACCAGAGGTCACCTCAAGAGCTTAACTAGGCATTAGGGATCAGTCAGGAGATAATGGGATCTTTTGAAGATTTAAAAAGTTAGAGGATCAGGTTTGTCTACAAACAGTTAGTGTGATGATGTCAGAAGAAGACTGATAGGCAAGAGACCTGGGATACTTCTTGGCTCTGACACTTGGGCATTACTTCACCTTTCCAACACTCAGTGTCTTCATCTGTAAAATAGGGGACTAACTAGACCACATCTAAGGATCCTCTAGAATACCTCATTCATGAGATCATTTTAACCCTTTGAGAGATAAGGAGACTAGAAACAATTCCTAGGCAAGGACTTGCACATTTTTCTCTATATCCCCCTACAGAGACAAACATGGTGCCAGTAGAGTAGAAGGGCCTAAATAAAAGTCTAAACCACTAAAGCAACTGAATATAGGTTGGAGCCTTGGGGGAACTGGGTAAATTAGTGGCAGAGGAAGGCATAGGATGACAATTTGGTCCTCCTCAGCTCTGTAAGTAATCCTGCTTTGGTATACTGAGGTCCGAGATGGGGGTTGGGTCCCCCAGAATCCTAAACAGCTTTGCAGCTGGGTGGTACAGTGAATAGAACACTGGGCCTGGAGTCAGAGAGATCTGAGTTCAAATCCAGCCTCAGACAGTGACCAGCTGTGTGGCTCTCAGCAAGTCATTAAACCTCTGTCTGCCTCAATTTCATCATCTATAAAAATGGGAATAATAATTGCACCTAATTCCCAGGATTGCTGTGAGGATTAAGTGAGATATTTGTAAAGCACTTTGCAAACAAAGTGCTATAAATAATGCTAACTATTGTAATTACAAATAATAATAAAAATGCATACTAGTAGGCAGCAGTGCATGAAGCTAAAGCACATCTGCTCTAACCACCTTTCCCCAGTGGCTGTTCTAGGAGATGGGGGTGTAGGATTAGGGAGTGGACATTGGGTAGACTGAGCCTGAACTAAGCGTAGGACTTACAGGTCCCTGAGGCTTCTCTCTCCACCTTTGCCCCCTTGCCCCTCTTCCCACAGTCAGGGCAGCTCTCAGCAGTACCTTCCTCCTCAACTGAGCTTCTATCTCCCACCTCCATCTCCTCCTCCAGGGTGAAAGAGGATTTGTCTCAGATAAGTGGGAAAGCTTCATTTTTATTGATGCTTCTCTCCAGCACCCTGAGGGGAAGAGCAATGGTTTGGAACATGTATGGACTAGAATACCTCTTTAACCTCTCTCTCCTTTGTCTTACCCCTTCCCCTTCTGTCACATCCTCTCTGTGTCTCTCCCTTTTTCTTTTTCTGTTCATCTCCCTTTCTGTCCTGCCTCATCTCTGTTTTCATCTCTCTGTATGTTGTGGCTTTTTTTGGTAACACCATGTTGGATTCTCTTCTCCCCATTTGCCCTCCTGTTCTGCTCCTCTCTTCCTGTCACTTTTTCTCTATCCTTCTGTCTGTCTCTTCTGCCCAATCTGTTCATCTCTACCTCTTTTTCTCTCTTAACCATATCTTTCTGTCCCTTGGTCTCTCTCTCCATCTCTGGCTCTTTTCCCTGGTCCTATGTCCTTACACTCGCTGCTTCATCTGCTATCTCCTGTCTTCCCCTTGCTTCCTCCACTCATTTTCTCCTTCTGCTCTCCCGCTCTTTGTCTCTCTGTCGTGCATCTATCTCTGCCTCCTGCCTCTTTCTCTCCCACTCCTTCCCTTTCTCTCTGCTCTTTTTCTCTCTCTCTCTTATTGTCTTCGTCTCTGCCCTTCACTCAACCTACCCTCTGTGTGTCTCCCTCCCCCCACACGCACCCCTAGGATGATCCCAGCTTCCAACAAGGCCTTCGTGGTGAACAATCTGGTGTCGGGGACCGGCTATGACCTGTGCGTGTTGGCGATGTGGGATGACACAGCCACCACACTCACAGCCACCAACATCGTGGGCTGCGCCCAGTTCTCCACCAAGGCTGACTATCCGCAGTGCCAGTCCATGCACAGTCAGATACTGGGAGGCACAATGATCCTGGTCATCGGGGGCATCATCGTGGCCACGCTGCTGGTCTTCATCGTCATCCTCATGGTGCGCTATAAGGTGTGCAATCACCAGGGCCCTGGGAAGATGAATGCTGCGGCTGTCAGCAATGTCTACTCCCAGACCAACGGGGCGCAGCCGCCACCGCCGCCGCCACCATCTAACGCGGTACAAAACGGGGCGCCACCGCAAGTGCACCCCAAGGCGTCCATGAGGAACGAGCACTTTGGAAGCGGCAGCGGGGCGTCTGGGGCAGGGGGGGCAGGGGGGGCTGGGGCCAGAGGTGGCGGTGGCGGCTTGGGGCGCAGCAGCGGCTCCTCTTCGTCCTCCAGCTCCTTGGGCAGCACGGACGGGGCGGGTGGCCGGGGCCCCTGGAGGCTCCCTCCGCCCGGCGCCCGCCCCAAGCCCAACCTCGACCGCCTCATGGGGGCCTTCGCCTCGCTGGACCTCAAGTGCCAGAGGAAAGAGGAGCCTCTAGACTCCAGGACTCCGGCCGGGGCCGGGGCTATGGGACGTCACTCGGACCGCGAGCCACTGCTGGGGCCACCGGCGGCACGGGCCCGGAGCCTCCTGCCGCTGCCTCTGGAGTGCAAGGCTCGCCGCAGCCACTCCTTCGACATGGGAGACTTCGCTGCGGCGGGGACGGCATCTGGGGCGTCTGGGGGGGCCGCGGCACAGGAAGGCTACAGCCCGCCGCGGAGAGTGACGAACATCTGGACCAGGCGCAGCCTCTCGGTCAATGGCATGCTCCTGCAGTTCGAGGACAGTGACCTCGCGGGGCCCAGGGGCACTTATGGCAGCTCCGAGTGGGTGATGGAGAGCACGGTGTAGATGGCGGTGGCGTCCAGAGAGCGCCCCGCACCCCTTTCTACCTCCCTCTCCTGCCCCTTCCTCTCTCATGTCAATTCCGAACCCCCTCCCCCAACTCCCACCCTACTCCGCCCGTCGGTGGGATGGATGCTGGCAACTAGGTGGAAGAAATCATTCCTTTTTTATATATATATCAAGTCTACACTCGATTATCTGCGTGCACTTTGTGGGTTATCCGAGGGCGGCGTTTACACATGGGACCACCATCCCCTGTCCTTTCCCCTCCCTATGCCACCCGCCTCACCACCACTTCCATCTCAAGTTCAGGTCCCCTTTCCCCACCGCTCAGCCGGTGCCCTCAGGGAATGCACTGCAATTTGGCCCAAGCCCTATATTAGGGAAAAAGAGCTCTCTAATTACAAATGCCAAGGATAGGAAGCTTTGGGATGAACTGTTGTTTGTGGGGAAGCTTTTATTTTTAATCTATTCCCTAAAGACACAGCCATACAGATAATAAAGAGATCACCACGTATTAGAAATTTTGTGCCCACGGGGCTAAGCCAGTGAGGGCCAAAGCAAAGCCACGATAGGAGAATGACTGGAAGTTCGTCTCTGTTTCTAGGGGAAGGTTCTTGAATTCCCCAACACCCAAATAGTCGCATTAACTTCTTCCTCTCACCGGGAGCCGAGTGGCTTCCTGCTCCCTAACCCCAGTAACTTTTCCCACGCATCCCACTCTCAAATATCATATCAAGTTAAACCCAGTTTGACACTGAATTTAAGTGGGGTAATTTTTAGGGAATGGAGGGGAGATGAGCGTTCTATTTGGTGGTGAGAATTTTTTTTTCTGTTTTTCAGTTAGGTGGAGCAGAGAGAGCTCCCCAGAACAAGAGGTAGAGTCCTCTGAACAGCTATATGGATTCCACCTAAATAATCTGAGAGTTATTGGAGAAGGAGTGTTGAGATAAATGACCATGTATGAAGGGGCATAAAGGAGTTTGGGGAGAAATCTGAGCCATTTTAGAATCACAGAACCATCCTGGAAGGGACCTTATAAATCATCCAAGAGATAATCTATCAGGTGAGGAAATGGAATCACAGGTAAAGATCACATAGGCAATTAGTAGAAAAGCTAGATTTAGAACTCAGGCTTCCCAATTCTTCGGAATAAAGTTTCTGTGTTGTTTCTGCCCTCCCTACTCCTACCCACAAATCATGCCAGAGACTTTTTTTTACAGAGCTACACAGTTGGTTGTGTATTGGGTGACCCAGCTTGGAACTCCCTGAGAAATGGAGCCTAAGGTGATGCTCTACTTTCTGTCTTTCCCAGGGAGGACCTCTGTCCATGCACTTAGGGTGGAAATGAGAAAAGAAATACTGGGGCTTATTGAAATCCATGTTTTTCTTCCCGTATTCCTAGACAAAGATAGACATTCCATGTAGAAAAAGAAGGGTGACAGAGAGGATACAACTTCAGGAAACTGATTTAATATGACTGGGCTTTGGACAAAATGACTTTTCCACACCTTCTCTGTCTTTTATCTGCCTCTTATCCATGTTCTTTTCCCTCTCCTCCACCTTCCTCTCTCCCTCTCTCCAGCCTCCTCCCCCTTTAACACTTTCCTTTCTTTTCTCTATATAATTCTTCCTGCCAGTGATCCTCTTTTTCCTCCTTTCTTCTATTGGTTGAACTGAGATCATCATAAAACTTGGAGGTTATTTTTGTTACAACAAAAGGTATTGGTTACTTGCTGAGGTATGGTGGAATATTCCAGTCATCCTAGTAAAACCCATGGAGGGGTAGATTTCTTGGATGGCTTGAGAATGGAGGAAATCTATGAAAGGCTGCCTTGTGGATCCAATGTTGGCATCTAAATGGAATACCCTTGCTCAATCTATAACATTATCCCTATTTGCTCTTCCCTCCTTTCCCTCCCTTTCTTCCCTTTCATTCCTTCTCCAATCCTTTCCTCTCCCCTCCTGTCTTCTCTCACCTTCCCTCTTTCTTTTTCTCTCCTCCCTTTCTCCAATCCTTACAAGGTCATTCACAGCAAAGACTGGTTGCTCTATGATCAGCCACTTGAATTCCCCAGTGCCAGAATGGTGGAAACTCTAGAATCATCTACTCATCACTGAAACTTTATCAACTTTGTATGGCTTGAGACTGAGTTTAGGGCTCAGATTTTTTCTCTCCCATCTTCCCTCCTCAATCCATGCATTGCTTTTGTTGTGTCTTCAAATTCTGGCCATAGAAGAAGCCATTCCCAAATCATACCTTTCCTAGTTTCAGTGGTTTGGGCACAAGGTGAAAGAGCAGGGAAGGCTGAGGGGGACCCTTCCTTCCCTCCAGTGAGCTCACCATATATTCTCTTGCCAGGTTCAGAGTGGTATCTGGCATGGGTATGTACTAGCTCATGTATTTGTCATGTTTCTAAATTGGAGTTTTAGAAAAATGATATCCCTGTGGTCATATTATGATTCCATTCTTTTCTTTTTTATATAAAATATACAGTCATGTACAGTCAAACAAACAGAAAATACCAACCATGGTTCTTGGGGGAGGGGGAAAAGGATATTTTTCTTGTTCCTGGGAATATTGTCATAATCTCCTCTGAATGCTCTGGGATGTTAAAGGGAATTATCAGGAATGACATTTTAGGCAGCTGTGTTTAGATCTTCTCTTCTTCATAGAGTTCCCTGCCTAATACCTGCAAACTAGTAGAGAACCTCTGGTACACGGTCATGGGGCATGAGGAAGAGATTATGAATAAAGAGTCTAGACCTGAAGGGGTCAATGTTGCCATCCATCCCCATCCCATTCTTTCCAGAGTTTTCCACTTGCATTAATTCAAGTTCTTCCTGAATTTGGAGTTCCTACTGCCCACTGCACCCAACCACTAGAAGGTACCAATCCTGACCAAAATGGACCATTTCTCCCTTAGTTCAACTGACTTCTTCACTCTCACCTTTACTTGGAAACTAAGAGGAAGCACAAACAAAACCCACAGAAGCATAAGTTGAGAGTTTTTCATTCTAATTTTAATTAATGTCTAGTTATGCATTCTTTTATGAGGCAACAATGCAGATTGTACTTTTTTGCTAGTATCAGAGCCTGAGTGGTTATGGGATGGATCAAACTGAGTGTAGCAAGTGACCTAGAAAGGTTCCAGTTATGGAATCACAGGTATATAGGATTTAAGGCTAAAAGGGACCTTAGATGTCATCTTGTCCAACCTCTTCATTGCAGAGAAGAAATTGAGGCCTCAAGAGGAGTGTCCAAGGTCATACAGTAAATAGCAGAACTGAAATGAGAACCCAGGTCCTTTGCCTTTAGAATCAATATTCTTTCTGTTAGTATTATATAGTGTCAGGGTATCTGACACCAGGTAACAGGCATAGGTGGAGGCTGACAAGTGGGTCACTGGGAATATTGAGTAGAGACTGCTAGTAAATGTTCCAAGAGATAAGCATGGAATATAGCAACAAAGGGCTCTGAGGGTAGCCAAGAAGTGAAAGTTCAACCAAATATACTCTATGTCAAGAAGTTCTGGAAATGGGTTAGTTAAGGAAGAGTGAATGAAACATGACCGGAAAGTAGGACTATAATCAGTAGGTTACAGTGCACAGGACATAAATGATACTTAATAAATGCTTGATTTATTAAGCCAGCAACTAAGTGGCATAGTGGATAGAGTGCTGGGCTGGAATCAGGAAGACTCATCTTCCCAAATTCAAATCTGGCCTCAGACACTTACTAACTGTGTGCCCCTGGGCAACTTTGCCTCAGGAAAATGAGCTGAAAAAGAAAATGACAAACCACTCTGATATCTTTGCCAAGAAAACCCTAAATGGGGTCACAAAGAGTCAGACATGTCTGAAAAACAAGTAAACAATAACAAAACACTTTATTAATAGGTTCAGGAGAACAGAACCACTACTAGGGCAGGTAGACCAGGGCTTTGCCAACATCTGTTGAAGAGAAGGGGAACAGCACTTATCTGACTTACCATGCTCATGCCTCCATGGTCCTCTGCTGGCCCACAGCTGTCTCATGTCCTTCAAAGGCTGGGGCTGAGGATACTCCCTCCAGGATCCTTTTTCCATTGTACCCCTCTCTGTAAGCCTGCCTTTCCCATTGCTGGAGTAAGGGTTTGGTTACAGGGAGTAAGATAAGATTCTATTTACTATCCAAAGGAGGAGTTTGGTGGCAAGGAACAAGGGAAGAAATCAGGTACTAGGAGCAGGTACAAGGTCAGAATAAGAGAAGCAACAAGGATGACTTGATGTTTCTGAGTTATGGATTTGGGGTCTGCATATTCTTTTAGCCTTGGGACTGAATTGCCCTAATAGTCTGGGGCTAGGGCTAAGCCTGAAGATGGGGGTCAAGTGACTCAAAGGTGAAGACAGGATCACCTCAAAATCATAGTAGAGGGCCTTTTAATATTGTAGTGGGTTTTTTTCTTTGACATAATTTCTACTAAGAAAAGAGAAGTACAGTTCCTTATTTCCAAATGCCCAGCTCATTTCATTTTTATCTTTTTTCAAACTTAATAGGTGATATCTCTTCAGTTAATACAATCTTTTTGTACTTTTTTGTCTTCCATTTTCTATGTGGACGGGAAAAGGACCCTAGGTATAGAGGTGGAAGCAATGTTAGAGATCGATTCAACTCCACTCAAGAAATATCTATTATGTGTCTACTACTTATTAAGTTGTGCTAGGGATAAAAAGACAAAACCAAGTCTGAGCTTTCCTTTCTTTTATAGAGGAGGAATCTGAGGTCCAGAAAGAGGTAATGGTTTGGTCAAGGTCAAAGGTCACCCAGGGAACAAACAACAGCAGTTTGGAACTCAGATCCTCCAGCTCCAGTTCTAGCCTTCGGTGGTCACAGGCCCAAATCGCCTGTTATCTATGCTTGTGAAGCCCAGCCAGCTAGGTGTGGTTCTGGCCATCCCTGCAGGCATTGGAATTCTGGCTTCTGGCTTCTGCAAACAGCTGCTATGAAAAGCAACAAAGCCAAA